CTGGCAAAAAGTGGAACACGAAAACAGTACTAAACTAAACTGGGAAAGCTAAACATAAAGTAAACCAGGAACCACGGGGAGAATAACACACAACATGAGGGAGAACGCGACGCCGAACAGAGGGAGACGCAGACAGAAATACACAGAGGGTTAACGAGGAAAGTGGGAACACAGCTGACACAGATAACCATAACGAGACAGGGCGGGGTGAACATAACACTGACGGGAGACGGGCAGAGTCAAACAGGAAGTACAGAGGTTCAGACAGGAGGAGAGAGCACGGGGAGAACACAGACATAACAGGCTGGGGAAAACATGGAATAAAACACGAAAGGGGACAAGGGCTCATGAATACATAGAGGGGCACACAGGGGGTGAGAGTCACAAAGGGAAAGCACACAGGGAACAACATAACAGGGCAACTCAGGAAACAGAACCTAAACAGGGAACTGAATACAAAAATACAAGAGAACTAAGAATACTGGGCCAACACGGCCCAGGACCATGACAGTTACACCTGGTAGAGCAGAACGCTGATCATTTTATTAAAGATGAAAGACTTTAGACAGTTTTTCAACTCTCAGTAATGCCACAGTGATCGTTTGATATATGGACCTGCAGCGGAGTTTAGGCCCAGACACGGCTAGTGACGTCAGACTTAACAACCGGATAGAAACAGTCGCCAAATCATACCACAGAAAATACATGAAAACTGCTACTAAACATTGTCCCAACAACTCTGCCACAGTAGAGGAATCCTGTTTTGTCTTATGTCAATCCTTTACCCTTACTGTAGGTTTGCCAAGCTAAGAGAAAGGTCACCAGGCTTCTCCGGGCATTGCACTATTGGGCGAGGGCTCAAGTTCCTCAGAGTATGTTTTTTCCCTGTCCTTGTGATCCCATGGCATTTCTGTACCATTGGTGTTTTCCTCATACGAGTTGTAAGAAGATCTTCAAATGGACCAGCCTATTTGTTCAGTGGTTATACTGACTTCATTGTTTGTAATGTGATCACTGTTGAGATGCCCAGGATCAGATGATATTTGATTTTCCTTTACAGGGTCAGGATTTGCAGGAATATAAAAAAATGGACTTCATTGAAATGTGAAATATGTCATCTTCAACTGTACCAGTGTAGATGAACATAGCATAGCCAGCAGATGGTCCTGAATACCTGGGAAAACAGGCTGGCTGGCTGACGGTGAAGAGGAAGTGTAGTCCTAAACAGAAGGCCCCAGTAAACTGTTCATGTCTCTAATCGTTTTCCCCCACACACCTGCAGAGGAACAAACGCTGGTATTTTCAATTCTGTTTTGAGGCATGTGAAGCTGGAAACACCAGCAACCATAGTGAAATGTCTTCCAGTCGCCAGAGCCGGCGACACTGAAGGAACCCTGAAACTACTGACTAAAGATACGTGTAAATGATGTCAAATTATCATTTTTGTCAGCATCACACTTGACACCTGGTTACGTCAATTGGAGTTCATTACAATTAATATTGAATCGGTGTGTAACTTTGTGAAAACAATGTCGTAGTTTTCTCTTGTCCCCTTCCCAATCGGACCAGGAGGGACATGTTTAGCGACGTGCTCTCCTTAAATTACTGGCTGTCTGAGTGGTGTCCAAAAAATTATGTAGGCTTTATAGATAAAGACTGCATCTGCTCCCAGACCACCAAAACCCCCCCACTAACAAACCAAAAATGAAAAACAAATGATTTAAACATAAAAATTCACAAAGAAAAACACCATAATATCCTCAACTGCAGCAACGAGTACAAAGCTTAAGTGTAAAACTTTTCTCTCTTCTTATCAGTAAAAGATTTAATGATTGATCAAAAAATTGATTTACTCTGTGTTACAGAAACCCAGTTATAGCAGGTTTACTGACCCAATCAGCACTTGCAAAACGATGGCTCTCTACTGAGACAATTCAAACTGATCAACACAACCACATCGACTGACGGATGACAAATTCTGAAGGATTATGACCCCCTATGAGCAAGCACTTTGGCGACAGTGGGAAGGAAAAACTCCCTTTTAACAGGAAGAAACCTCCGCAGAACCAGGCTCAGGGAGGGGCGGGGCCATCTGCTGTGATTGGTTGGGGTGAGAGAAGGAAGACAGGATAAAGACATGCTGTGGAAGAGAGACAGAGGTTAATAACAGATATGATTCAATGCAGAGAGGTCTGTTAACACATAGTGAGTGAGAAAGGTGACTGGAAAGGAAAAACTCAATGCATCATGGGAATCCCCGGCAGCCTACGTCTATTGCAGCATAACTAAGGGAGGATTCAGGGTCACCTAACTT